GATCAGTTTAAACAAAAACTAAAACTATTACTTTTAAATAATGAACAAACAGATAATTATTTTTAAATCTATCTATAAAAATATTATATATTAAAACTATCTACTAATGCATACTTTAATTGTCTGAAAGGTCTAAATTCTTTAATTTTATATAGGTATTACAGTCTGTTATATTATAAAAAAAGTACTTATAAAGATTTTTAGCATTTTTAGATTTCATTAGTTTAAATAAATTTATTAGTTTTCTTAAATAAGAGAGAGAGAGGAAAAATAAAAAAAGTAATCTTTTTTGAGTTTTAATTTTTTATATTAATATTTTGTAATTTGTTTTTGAGGAATTAATATATTACACTTTATAAGAACAGATTGTAAATTAAATTTTACGTTTACTTTTTTCATGTTTTTTAGTTTTTTGATATTTTTGTTTTTCTGAATGAACTTTTAAATTTTTCTTTCAAAAAATAAAATCGAAAAAATATCTTTCAAAACTTTGAACTATTAAACTATTTGGCATTTTATATAAACTTCTTTGTAATTTTTTGCTTTTTTCTTAATTTTTTAATTTTCATTTTAGTTACCATGTATTTATATAAATGTCTAGACAAACAAGGGACTTGGTGATAATACAACCCCGTCTTCTTCTCGTCCTTGCCATTTTTAAATATTTTAAATTACGGAACTTGTAAATATTTGTACGGCTAAATTATAAAAAAAAAAAAAAAAAAAAAAAAAAAAAAAAAAGTGCTCTTATATGATTTTTTACTAATATATGAATATAGTAATTTAACCTGATCTTCCAAGTTTCGTTCGTAATTTTTAAAAGAGTTATTTATTTGCTTTAGAATGTTTCTTTTCATTTTATTATATATTTTTTTTGAGCCAGCTATGGACCAGTTCATTTTTTTATTTGTTGCCCAATAGTTATTTTTGTACTTGATTTTATTTCTCAAACTACTTGACATCCATTCATACTTGGCTTCACTGGCTTTATTTTTTAGTTTCACAATAGGTATATAATTCTTGTATGATTGATTGTAATGGATTAATAACTTATCATAACATTTTTCAATGCATATGTTTTGAAATTCGTCAGCCCAGTTTATGCTTTTTATATATATATTGAATAGAATAATTTAAAAATATTTAATAGAATAATTTAGCCTACTTCAATCACAGATCTTTCTCCTATCCAATTTTTATGGGAGGAATTAAAAGTAATGTCAGAAACTAATGTTATTGTATAAAGAATTGAATCTCTATTGAGATACCACCGCAAACGGCTTTCCTAAAAAGTAGGCTTTTTGGAAGAAAGTTACTTTTCCGCCGGGTAGCATTATTAACTCTGCAATGTTCATTTAAAGAAATCAAAATTATTAGCAGCAAGTTACAAAAGCGGGGCTTTGTTAGTTTTCTGTGATAAAACTAATTCCTTGATATTTTGCTAATCATGCATTTGCACTTGGTTTTTAATCTACAGACAATTTGATCATTTATTAACTTTCTTTAAATCAACATGGTCAAACAAAGTTAGCATCAATAAGCCATCCATGCACGAAAAAAACTTCATTGGAAACTATTGTAGATATCTCTAAAACAACTTTTATTTTTTAGTAGAGTTGCTTAAAAAAGCCAAAATCGGATTTGAAAGTAAAAGACCTATTGCTGCATTTAAAAAAATCAATGCAGTCAGACAAACTTTTTTTGAGAAAGTTCTAAATTTTATCTAAAAAGATTATAACCTTTATTTTGAAAAAGCATACAATCAAAATTCACCCAGTTTTTAAAAATGGTGATTGTTCTTCTATTTGCAACTAGCCCCCTATATCACTTCCCCCTGAAAGGGTAATTTTTAATAGAATTTGTGGTTATATGACATTAAATACGCTTTTATACAAAAATCAATTTAGATTTCAGAGATACTGCTCTATTGAGCGTGCTATTATTGAACTTTCCAATAAAGTATTCATGTCTTTTGATAAAGGGAAACGAGTACTAGGAGTAATTATTGATCTCACTAAAGCATTCGATACTGTTGATCACGGAATTTTGGTTTCAAAGTTAAAGCATTACGGCATTAAAGGCCTTACATATAGTTAGGTTAAAATCTTTTTAATAGAAATCAGTTTGTTGTCTTGGAGGAGTCAGGAGCTGTTGATATTGTTTGCGGAGTCCCACAGGAATCAATCTTGGGACTTTCATTATTTTTAATATATATTAATGATATGAATCAAACTTTTCATAAAATATCGTCAATTATGTATGCAGACAATACAAATTTATTCTACAATAGTTCAGATGTATAAATATTGTTCGAAACCATAAACACTGAACTAGAAAGCTTTAACCAATGGTTTATAGCTAATAATTTATCATTAGATTGTGAAAAAACAAGTTTTACTCTCTTCCATAAAATAAGACAATCAACTAATCTTCCGTTAAAAATGTTCCGTTAAAAATAAATCGAATAAATCATACCAGGTTTTTAGGAATAATATTTGATGAGAACCTATCATGGAAAAAACATGTTAGTCTCATTGAAGCAAAAATATCTATAAGTGTATTATATAAATCTAGAGTTTTTCTTGATTATAAATCACGCAAAATGCTTTACTTCAGTCTTGTTCATTGTCATCTTTTTTACGTAAATATTGTTTGGGCTAGCGCACACAAAACTAAATTGTTAAGATTGTTATTAAATTGATAAGATTACAGAGCCTACAAAACCACGCATGTAAAGCAGTTAACTATTTAAAGAGATTAGAAAACCCTTCCCCTGTAATGAAATACATGAATGTGTTAAATATATCAAAACTTAATTCGCTTCAAATATTAATACTTATGTATAAATATAAGAATAACTTGCTGCCAAAAGTATTTTCTGATATCAGAGTTTTTACAAAAATACAATCTTCGGTCAAATACCAACCATAACTTGAGCAGAGTAAAATTGCAAGTATCAAAATTTTCAATTATTAGCCAAGGTTACATAAAGAATATACTTATATATATATTCTTTGTGTAACGTAAACGTTTCATTATAATTTTATTACTTTATTTATATATGAACAGCGAAATATATATATATATATATATATATATATATATATATATATATATATATATATATATATATATATATATATATATATATATATATATATACATATATATATATATATATATATATATATATATATATATATATATATTTAAAGGTTTTAGAATTTCAATTCTAAAACCTTTAAATATATATATATATATATATATATATATATATATATATATATATATATATATATATATATATATATATATATATATATATATATATATATATATATATATATATTTAAAGGTTTTAGAATTTCAATTCTAAAACCTTTATATATATATATATATATATATATATATATATATATATATATATATATATATATATATATATATATATATATATATATATATATATATATATGTATATATATATATATATATATATATATATATATATATATATATATATATATATATATATATATATATATATATATATATTTAAAGGTTTTAGAATTTCAATTTTTCAAGTTAATCTTATAAAGCGCCTAGTTTATTAACAATCATAACTAACGTAGCCGTACACATAGGTAAGGTTATTAACAATTGTAACTTACGTAACCGTACACATACGTAAGTTTATTAAAAATCTGCGGAAAATTTAAAAAATTGTTAAAAAAAGTAAAATGTTGATAACTTTCTTTTAGACATTGCTACATTTTTTAAAAAATTTGTGAAACTTATGTCCATGTAAAAACCAAAAAGTAAGAAATTTTTTTTTGAGGAACATACTTTTGACTCTGTTGCTAAATTAATACCAATGTGCATAGTTTTTTTATGATTTTCAGCTTTCTTGATACGCAAAATCTTATTCATAACATTTTATTGCTTAGCCCTTTGATAATCCCTTTGTTTTCCATTTAAAATTCAAAAAGTGAAAGGCACTGAAAAAGAGCATCTTTTTTGGCTAGTTTACTTTTCACAACTTAAATTGGTATTGAGTTTTTTAAATTGATTCATTTCTCATAAAAGTTGTTTTGTAAATCCTATACACAATCTTATTTTTTTGTTACTTTATATATAATTGCATAGCTTAGCATATATACTAATATCTAAAAACATATCTATATATATCATAATGGGATTTTATCGGACAACTTAGCTTACTTAGAAAATGAGAACCAGTTCTACGTAACTATTAAATCAAATTTTTAAACTAAATATTGTTGCCATTTTAGTAACTCATATTTAAAGGTCTATTAGGTGTACCTGGCATTAAGAAACTAGTCCAAATGTCATTAGTTTTTTCTCTATTTCAGTCTTTCTCGCTTGTTCCCCTACTTTACAAGCTGTTTGAACATTTTTATATTTATTTATATTCTAACTCTGTTAGATGTGTTATTCTGTTTTAATAAATCAAAAGGCTTCCATTTATATATAAATATATAAATAATAATATATAAATATATAAATAATAATATATAAATAATAATATATGAATATATAAATAATAATATATAAGTATATAAATAATAATATATAAATATATAAATAATAATATATAAATGTTAATATATAAGTATATAAATAATATATTTATATACTTACATATTATATTATATATTTATATATTTATTAATATATAAATATATAAATAAACCGAAAAAGTACTTAAATGCTTAAACCTGTACTTTAATAAAAATTTTAAAAGATTTACAAATAATTTTAAAAAACATTGTTTATGAGAATTACATTCGATTGAATAGGAGAAAACTTAAGAAAAAAAGTTTTTGCCTCCGTTCTTACCAATATTGGTTATCTGGTCAGAGCTGGCATTGAACCTTTTGGTTCCAAACCAGGACTCTAGCCACTGCGCAACGACTGCTTTAAATATAAATAACAAACATTAAATAATAAATAAATAGTACAAATCTTTACTTACGCACCTGTTTGATATCTACCCACGTATTAAGTATTGGAAGACCAATTATGAAACCAACCGCTGGACCTATAACTGCTGCAGCATAGTAAATACCCAAATACAAGCTTCCTTGACCTCTATGTGTTACTTCTTCAATATGAGCTGGTGCTAAGGTATATAAAGGTGTTGCACCAATACCCATTAAAACAAAACCAAGGGCAAATAAACCTTTATAATACCATAATGTTCCTTCACTACAGGTTGTTTGAGGAATTGTATAATTAGAAGAAATTTGACAAAAGTCTGTTGAAATTTGGACACCAGCAGTGTAACTTCCGACAATGTACTTTGGAATAGTTGTTATAAAACATCCACAAGCCATTACCAGCATACCTGCTGCAATAAAACGAGGTTTATGATTATGACCAATGTAGCTGACAAAAAGGCAGCAAATACCATAAGCTGCATCGTAAGTAACACTAAGTAAAAGCCCACTCTCTGTACTCTTTAAGCCATATTGTTTTTCTATAGATGTAATAGCAGTAAATGTTACTCCAGTAATTACTAGCCCTTGAGAAAGAGAGCATATGCACAAAACTACAATCAAAAACGACGGTTTATTAAGTTTTTGTAATGAACTCCCTGAAAATCTTCCCCAGCCATATTTATACACATCAATGACGGGTTCTACAACTGAATCGGCATCAGAAAACAAAATATCCTCAAACTGTTTTTCTGCATCAGCGTCTCTGAATGCTGGATTATCAAACATTGAATGCTTTTTTTTCTGTTTAGTACCACAAACGATTTTTTAAATCAGAGTTCTAAAGTATAAACTAAATTATATGTATACGTATCTTCTCGATGAATTAAAGTAAATTAAAATGATTTAAATGAAAACAGAGATGTATTTATTACACATTTGTATTTATTACATATCTGTATTTAGAGCATATTTACACCTGATGATTGCATTTAGCATGAAACTTATAGTAGTGAAAAATATGTAGTTTTATTTATAATATATATATATATATATATATATATATATATATATATATATATATATATATATATATATATATATATATATATATATATATATATATATATATATATATATATATATATATATATATATATATATATATAGGCAGGTAGGTGTAGCTAAAATTTTCGAGCTTTTTTTATATTATTGCGTAATGTCTCCAACGACATTACGCAATAATATATGGTTTAATTTCCCATTAAACAAAAACTTTTCCACAAATGTCGCTAAACATTATTAAAATTTCTAGACAAAAACTTTCCTAAAAACTACAAACTACCCAAAGTCTTATAAAAGTATGTTACAGCTGTATTGATAATATCAAGAAAGTTATTAAAAACTATAACAAAAAATGATTTTTTAAAAAAGTAAAATGCAATTGTCGAAACAAGGCAAAATGCCCCATGAATGGAGAGTATACATCAACAAATGTTCTTTATAAATACACTGCAGCCCACCAAAGTTTATTTTGGGTGAGTGAAAAAACAGATATAATAATCATAAATTATCATTTAAAAACGTTTAATACAAAAAGTCCACCGTCCTATCTGAGTATGTTTTGGATTTGAAACCACATTTAACAAAAGCCCAATTTTCTCATGGTCGATTTTAAAATCTGTACCCTCCCACTCAAATATTTCCAAAAAATGTCTACTAAAATGTCTTATATAAAAAATTTACAAATATATGGTATTTAATACATGAAGAACTTTTAAATAAAAGAACGAAAATTATATTTTAGTGCCATCATAAAAATGAATTTTTATTAAAAAATTACAAAGATGACTAATTAAAAATTACAAACCCAACTAATCTCTCACAATTATTATTTTATTTTTGTTAATGCATTTAGGGCGTCCCGAAGAAGGGGGGGGGTGTTAGGGTGTCTCCCCCTCCCCAAAGCTGTCATATAGGCATTTGAGTTTGCACATTGAGCAAGTTTTGAACTATAGTTGGTGAATTGCAAATATTGAGAACCATTTTTTTTGGTGTCTCTAGTTGGCAAAAAAATACAAAACACCCCACCCCCTCCCTCCATGGAAAACCTCTTCAGGACAACGATATATATATATATATATGGGCAATTCCACGGCGTAAAAATGAAAAAGTATTCAAATGTTATTCAACTTTTAGAAAATGAATATTGATGTAGACACATTAAAGTTTATTTAAAATGTATCTTTAATACTAAAATTAATTTATTTAAGTCATTTTTAAGCCGAAAGTTACGGTTTTTCTCATTGTCGCATGATAAAAAAGGTATCATTGTAAAATGTTATTCTAACCATAAATTTATTTGCATAATCGGAATTAAATTAACGCGAAAATGGAGCTAACATTTTCAAACTGTTGTTGGTCAGATTTTATACTTTATAAAAAATATATATTTTAAGAAAATAACGAATGAACTTTGGCAATTTTCATGTAACGTAAGTTAACAAAAACATAACAAAGTTAAAAAACTGAAGTTTTTTAATAAAATATGCGAAAGAATATTAAATGTTACGTTTTTGCATTTAAAGTTTTGAATAACGATGCTTAGTTAGAGTACATTTTTATTTAAAATTTGTGTAACGTAAAGTTAAAACTTCAAACATTTACTTAAGTTCTGGCGCTTTTTCGTTAACAAAATGATTTGCATTATTAAGTAATTCTTATTTCGCTAAATGAAACTTTTTATATAAGAAAAAAGTCTTTTATTTTTTGTTTAATTTTAATTAAAATTATTCATATTATTGCTTTTTTATTTGTTTATGTATTCTTATTTTATTTGACATAAATACACATAAACAAAAACAAGAATTATATAAATATTTGTATTTAGACATTAAAAAAAAAAGATTTATTTGCTATTCACGTAATATAAAAAAAATCAGTTAGAATTTTTTTTGTTTTTGTTTTAGTAAAACAAATCGTTTGTAAATGCTATTATGGGTAATCTATAAAGCACGTCACCCTATATTTGTCAATTTTTAACCCTATATATGTCAAATTTTAAAATAAGTATTAAAAAGTTGTAAGACTAAAATAATTTTTCTCTCGGTTTTGCGGAAAAACTGTTTTCGATCTGATAACTTTTACAAATGTTATGAAAAATCACTTAGGAAGAGTGACACCAGTTTTTTAAAATTTCCTATGTTAATTATTTTTAATGAATGAGCTCAATACTTTTGCAATTGTTTTGTTTCGTAACTCTAAGTCGAAATAATAGAAGTAAGACATTCCCGATAAATATAAAGGTAACGTAAATGATGTAACATAAGTTGGACAGAAAAAACCAGTTTATCTTCACCGGTCACCTCTGATAAAATTGTATATATTTTTTAAATTGCCATAGAATTCTTAACATCAGTGAAAGTTTCTAATACAAACCGCTTTACTGATTCGCAGAAATCTGACCTAAAAGTTGAAGCAATTTTTTTACCTAGTTTTCCGTGTAAGTGGCATTTTCAGTAATTTCCGTGTTAAGTGGCATTTTCAGTAATAAGTTCGTCCTCTTTTGGCCATACTTAAAATATTTTAGTTTATTTTATTCTTTAGACTAACAGCTTTCGGGGCTAACCATAAAAGACGTCACCATTTTTTGGTCAATTTTTAACCCCCCTCCCTTTGTCACGGGTTTTCTATTTTCCCTAAACCTCCCTTGAAAAGGACGTCATAAAAAAACTTGCACCCTCCCCCTCCCTATTTTAACCCCAAAAAATTTATTTTATATCGCAATGATGTTTGAATCTGCTCTCTGCTGCTATACTTTTGAAAAATAAAAATAAAAATATTCTCATACATTATCTTCTTAAAAACACATGTTTTCATAGTTTTCCATGTCAATTAAACTAAAATAAAAAACATAAATAGTGACGTGCTTTTCTGACAGCCTACTTCCCTTCCCCTTGTCCTTTATTTTCCTTTTTATCCCGACTCCCATCCCCCCCTCCCTATTTAGACGACGTCCTTTATGGATGGCCCCTTCATACAAAATAGCTAAAAGTTTAATTTACAGTTTAAACAAGCAAATATTTGATAAAGTTGTTGCGCGTGTAACGTAAGGTAAAAATGGAATTGCCCATATATATCATAATGTAATGTATGTATATAATGAGAAAGTGATAATTTGGAATACTCGAATATCTTAATTTATATAAACGCCATCTGTGTTATTTTTTTGAAAACTCAAAGTCAAATAGCAAATGAAGTAAATAATTAATAAAAACAGTGTGTCATCTTGATATTTTTGCTGATAGTCACTCGTTAACAAAACGTCATTTTTGAAAACTTTTTCGGTTAAAATGCAATCCTTCATAAATATTTAGAAATACAATTAAAATCCTCATTTTAATCGATTAAATTATAAAAAAAATTACTCGATTTATTGTTGCGTTTTCATTTTAGTTTACTTATGAATGTCAATGAAAAAAAAAGGTGAATACAATTTGAATTTTGAAAAAGGTGAATACTATATTTCAAACTACTTGCACCTCAAGTAAGATCGTACTGTTGGAGATTTTTCGTTTCAATACAAATTTTGATAAGGTTCCTAATTTTTGTTGTAGTTGATTTTATTATATTATTAAAATGATACAGTTTTTCCATAATTTAATGGTTTTATCTAACTACCCCATTAACTTTCCCACCTATTCTCAAAAAACAAACTGATATTCCAAATATGCTGCACTTTCATGGCCATAGACAAGTGGGGGCTTGAGATTTTAGCCTCCTAACTTTTTGTTTTTGTTGCGCCTTAATTAAATATTTAAATAGCTATAAAATGAGGGTTACAGACTGGAGTTGTGAACTCAAGTAAAGGACGGACATAGGCGGAGTAGAGTTGTTAGTTTTTAGAGAATAATAAAATATTATAATTAAAAGTTTAAGTTTTTTTTGAACGTCTCTAACTAAAGGTTCATTTTAGCCTATGAAAAGTTTCTTTTAAAAGTAAAATAAATTTTGAATAATAAGTTTTCAATTTCTTAAACAGAAAAGATAAAGTAAAAGGTACACAGTGACATAACTTATTCAAGAGTAAATATATAGTTTAAACACGAGGAGAATAAAACCGTCACTTTAGTACGATTAAAAAAATTGTGATTTCAGGAAATGTGTCATAATAAAAATTCTCAGTTTTAATAGTTTAAACCATTTAAAAAATTAAAGAAAACAGAGTTATAAGAAAATGTGTAACCAATACGAGTGTGAAGGCATAATCATAAATTGAAAAAAAAAAAAAAAAAAAGAAATAAAGTGTTAAGCAGATACAAACTTTTAGAGTTTTTTGTATTGTAGCGTGTTTAAATTAAATTTAAAAAATTACACAGCGACCACAATATAAAAAATCACTGGCCGCATTTACCAATTATAAACTATCATCGTCTTTTGGCATTGCAACGTTTAGATGCAATGAGAAAAACAGCACAAAAACTAGTTAGTGAAGCTGGCTAACGGAGGAAATTTAACTGGAAAATTTAACGGTTCGATTGATATTTGGAGACTTAACGACAGGATTAGAATACCATCATCTCTCCGTTTTAAAACCGGCTGTTAAGTGTTTTTTCCTAAATGGACACTCAAATTATCCGTTAATTCAACGGGGAAAAGTGACTTAACTTAAATGGCAAGGGATCTATTCCACCTAATAGAAATATTGTTATAATGGTAAGCCTAGGATAAGTTTTCTTCTTTATACCCAAATAGTTTACAAATTCTTGAAAACAATTTTTTCCAATTTAATTTAATTTTGATCTGATTTTTTTGTGACGACGTTTAATAATAATAAATCAG